TGACATACAACTATCTACTGGGGCTTTGGGGGGAAAAAATAAATAAATAAAATCTTTAAAAAAAAAAAAGAGCTTTCACTTTTTTAAATCTTTATATTTCTGTACCTTTTCAAATTTTCATTAAACAGTATTTATGTGTTGCTTGTTTTATTGGGCTGAAGATCTGGGAAAAACTGACTTCATCCATTTATCCACCAACTCGTCTGATTGTTATCAAATACCTGCTATGTGTCTAACATTTGAAACAGGTAACATGATACATAATCCCCTAAATTGCAGGAATATAGGACCCTGATTCTAATAACATACTAGATACCTTTTTCAGTAAAGCCCTGTGAGATAGCATCTGGGAATTCTTTTCTTTAACCACACATTTGGAATTTTTTACTGAAAATTCATTAGCTTTCTCAAAGGCAGGCTGTATCATGAGTAAACTGGAAATTTTACTCATCCAACATGGATTTTTTTTTTTTTGCTGAGGAAGAGTCACCCTTAGCTAACATCTGTTGCCAATCTGCCTCTTTTTTTGCCTGAGGAAGATTAGCCCTGAGCTAACATCTGTGCCAATCTTCCTCTATTTTGTATGTGGGTCACCGCTGCAGCATGGCTGACAAGTGGTGTAGGTCCATGCCTGGGATCCCAACTTGCGAACCCAGGCCGCCAAAGCAGAGCACGCTGAAGTTAACCGCTACACCATGAGGCCAGCCCCCCAACATGGATATTTTAAAAGGCTCCACTTAGCTTGGTTTGTTATGTATTGGAAATACTAATTAAAACCATCCAGTCACATATAATTCACATGACAAGAAATAAAATGAGTAAATAAATATATGGAAAAATGGCCAATTCTATTAGTAAGCAAAAAAATGCAAAATAAAACAATTTATTAAATTAGCAGACTTTAAAAAACATCTAAAATGGCTAGTGCTGTTGAGGATACCTTGAAATTAGTGCCAGCATACGTTGCTGATGACTGTAACTTAGAGAGTATTAGCAATATTTATCAAGGGTCACAAAACACCAGTCTCTCTGATATAATAATCTCATGCTTGAGATTTACTTTTGGTAAATAACTGCGAAGAAGAAAAACAGTTATTTGGGCAAAGCTTTCATTACTGCATTATTTATTCATTTATTTATTTTTGTGAGGAAGACTGGCCCTGAGCTAACATTCGTGCCCATCTTCCTCTCCTTTATGTGGGATGCCGCCACAGCATGGCCTGACAAGTGGTGTGTCGGTGCACCCCCAGGATCCGAACCCGGGCCACCAGCAGCGGAGCGCACGCACTTGACCGCTACACCATGGGGCCAGCCCCACTGCATTATTTATAATAATGAAACTTTGGAAATAACCTAAATATCCAAAATGAAAGGTAACAAGTAAACTATGGTATAACAATTCAATGTAATGTTAAAAAACCATTTTAAATTATTTTATGAAGAGACTGTAATATAAAAAAATGAGTGAAAAAGCAATTGGCAATTTTTTAAAAATCTCCCCTCAACTAAGATGTTACTTTTGTAATTTAAAAAATCAGTAAATTTTATTTTAAAATTATGACTATAAAGCAATATAGGAATAAGAAAAGTTTTTTAGGGGCCAGCTTGGTAGCGCAAGCAGTTAAGTGTGCGCGCTCCGCTGTGGCGGCCTGGGGTTCGCAGGTTCGGATCCCGGTCACGCACCAACGCACCGCTCATCAAGCCATGCTGTGGTGGCGTCCCATATAAAG